TATTTAGGTTTTCATTCCTTTATTCTCTATATAAAAGAAACCTGGTGCTGTGGCTTACGCCGCTGCCTGTGAGCCGACATCCCATATGAGCACTGGTTTGAGTCTCAGATGCTACACTTCTGATCCAGCTTCCTGCTAATGCAGCTGGGAAAGAAGTGGAAGATGGCCCATGCCACCCGTGTGGGAGACCAGGATGGAGCTCCAGGCTCTTGGTTTCATCCTGGCCTAGTCCTGGCTATTGTCGCCATTTGGGAAGTGACCCAGTGGATGGAAGATCTCTGTCTCTCTTGTCTCTCCTTTTGTAATTCTGCCTTTCAAACAAATGTATCTTTAAAAAGAGAGAAATCGGGCTGGCGCTGTGGTGCAACAGGTTAACGGCCTGGCCTGAAGTGCTGGCATCCCATATGGGCACTGGTTCGAGACCTAGCTGCTCCTCTGCCGATCCCGCTCTCTGCTATGGCCTGGGAAAGCAGTGGAAGATGGCCCAAGTCCTTGGGCCCCTGCACCCACATGGGAGACCCGGAAGAAGCTCCTGACTCCTGGCTTTGGATCAGCACAGCTCTGACCATTGCGGCCATTTGGGGAGTCAACCATCGGATGGAAGACCTCTCTCTCTGTGTGTAACTGTGACTTTCAAATAAATAAATAAATCTTTTAAAAAAGAGAGAGAAATCATGCTCTTTTTCATTTATGACTTGCATTTTTCTCTCAACATTTTGTTTTTGGGACTCATCTATGTTGATACGTGGAATGAAAGTCAATTCCTTGTCATTCCTGGGTAGAGTATTCCACTATGGAAATATATAGCACTTTACTGTGCTGTGAGGACATTTGTGTTTCTTTCTCTTTGCCATCACAAACCATGCATATATGAAGATTCTCATATGAGCTCCCGGGCCACACGTGTGAGAATGTTCATAGGGTGCAGTACCTAGGAACAGAAACATTGGTTTATTGGGTGTTCTGGTGTGCTTTCCACTAGAAAATGCCAAATTATTCTCCAAAGTGGTCATTCTACTGCCACCAGCAGTGTATCGGTGTCTCAAAGTTCTGATTGCTCCATAAAACCTGGCCAACACCTGCTATTAGGCAACGCAGACTTCTGCCAATCTGGCTGTTGGGAAATAGTACCTCTCTTTGTTGTGCAACTTCATTCTCCTGATAACTCAGGCACTTGAGCACCATTTGATATGGTTTTCAGTCACTTGGCTTCTTTGATGAAATGCCTGCTCCTGTCTTGTATCTAATTTTTTTGTATTAGTTTGTCTTCTTCTTTTTTTTAAGATTTATTTATTTGAAAGCCAGAGTGACAGAGAAAAAAAAGGCAGAGACAGGAAGAAATCTTCCATCTACTTGTTCTACTCCCCAAATGGCTGTGATGGTCAGGGCTGGGCCAAGTTGAAAACTAGGAGTTTGGACCTCCATGCAGGACTCCCACGTGAGTGCAGGGACCCAAGCATTTGAGCTCTCTTCCACTTCTTTCCCAGGTGAGTACTGGATCAGAAATACAGCAGCTGGGACTTAAACCAGTGTTCAAGTGCCATGGGCAGCGGCTTAACCCAGTGTACCATAACACCGAGCCCACTTTGTCTTATTCTTTTTTGGACAGGCAGAGTTAGACAGTGAGAGAGAGAGAGAAAGAGACGGGAGAAAGGTCTTCCTTTTCCGTTGGTTCACCCCCCAAGTGGCCACTACTGCCGGGGCGCTGCACTGATCTGAAGCCAGGAACCAGGTGCTTCCTCCTGGTCTCCCATGCAGGTGCGGGACCCAAGCACTTGGGCCATCCTCCACTGGCCACATCAGAGAGCTGGACTGGAAGAGGAGTAACTGGGACAGAATCCAGTGCCCCAACCAGGACTAGAACCTGGGGTGCTGGCACCGCAGGCGGAGGATTAGCCTAGTGAGCTGCGGCGCCGGCCTTGTCTTATTTTTAATGATTCAGTCTTATATTTATAAGGATACTAAACTTTTGTGTAGTTTATGTGCTATAAATATCCTCTCAGGGGCTGGTGCAGGTTAAGCTTTTGCCTGCAGCGGCAGCATCCCATATGGGTGCATTTGTGTCCCGCCTGCTCCTCTTCTGATCTAGCTCTCTGCTGATTGCCTGGAAAAGCAGCGGAAGATGGACCAAGTGCTTCGGCCCCTGCACCCATGTGGGAGACCCAGAAGAAGCTCCTGGCTCCTGGCTTCAAATTGGCACAGCTCCGGCAGTTGCAGCCATCTGGGGAGTGAACCAGTGGATAGAAGACCTCTCTCTCTCTCTCTGTCTTTACCTCTCTCTGTAACTCTGTCTTTCAAATCAATAAAATAAATCTCAAATTTTTTTTTTATTTCTAAGACAGTGCTGTTTTTTAAATTATTTATTTATTTATTTACTTATTCATTCATTCATTCAAAAGGCAGAGTGACAGAGAGAGAGAGAGGGAGAGAGAGAGAGAGAGGACTCTCATATCTGCTAGTTCACTCCCCAAATGCCCACAACAGCCTAGAGTTAGGCCAGGCTGAAACCAGGAGCCAGGAATTTCATCTGGGTCTCCTTTGTGGGTGGCAGAGACTCAAGTACTTGAGCCATCACCTGTTGCCTTCCCAGGTGGATTCCTAAGAAGCTGAATTGGGAGTAGGGTGGCTGGGGCTCAAACCAGGCACTTCAATAAGGGGTGTGGTCATTCTAGTTGATAGCTTAACTCCCTGTGTCACAACACCTGCCCCAGGGGAGTACACTTCTTTGGTGTGTCTTGGATAAACAGAAATCCTTAACTTAGGTCTAGTCGAATTCATCAATATTTTCTTTTATGGTTTGTATGTTTTTGTTCTCTTCTACCCTTAACAAGATAAAGATATGTTCTTTTTTTTTTTTAAGGTTAGTCTCCACTTCTTATTCAGTAATTGGAAGTGAAGCAGCCAGGACACGAACCGGCATCCAAATGGGATGTCAGCACTGCAGGCAGTGGCCTCACCTGCAACGCCACAGTGCCCACCCTGAAATTTTTTCTTAAAACCTGAACATTTTTTGATCGGCTCACACCACCTTTATAAGAATTATTATTAGAACAGGGTGTTATTATTAGTAGTATTAGAACATTATAAGAACAGTCTATAAAATTAATGCACATTTAACTCTAAAACGAAGAAGACAAAGAACCATAAACTGCTGACCTAGGCGCACTAGTTCATGCTGGCTGGGCATGCTGGTTATTTTGAGCTGGAGGCACTTGAGAAACAGCAGGTGCGGAAAGGGCCATCTGTCCTGCCATTTTCAACCTAATACTGGGCATAAGACTTCCCATGAGAATGGTGTCTTCCCTGTGTCAGGAAGAGAAGAGCGACTTCATCCCCAGAGACTAAGAACTGATGCTGACACGGATCTGCCCCTTGCTAAAATCATCTTCTCTTCCACTCACTTCCCCCTGTGGACCTCCTCCTGACTTCCCACTATCTGCTGCCCCTTGCCCAAACCCCTTTATCATTTCTTCATGAATCTATTGGTTCTTTGCCTAAAAGGAACAAAAGCATTCTGCCCTGGCTGTTGGTCTACAGTCACTAGTGAAGGTTCCCATGCCTGTGTAAAAATCAAAACCATGTGGGCTTCGCTCTTGTTCATCTTATGCCAGTTTAATTCTTAGACCCAGCCTGAGACCCCAAGAGGAAGAGGAGAATTTATTTTCTCACCAACGCTGCATACAGAATGAGACAGTATAATAATAATCTCTTTTGTGTGGCTGAATTTCCTAATTGAACTACCCGACTTGAGAAAAATCAGTCAATTACTATCAATGAAAGGAGGTAAGGTTGCACTGAGAATCACACTGGGGAAGGGTAGGGGGACGGCATTGTGATGTATCGGGTTAAGCCCCTGCCTGTAAAGTCAACAGCCCATATAGACGCTAGTTCGAGATCCAGCTGCTCCACTTCTGATCCAGCCTCCTGCTAACGTGCCTGGGAAAGCAGCAGAATATGGCCCCTGCCACCCACATGAGAGACAGGATGAAACCCCTGGCTCCTGGCTTTGGACTGGCGCAGCCCTGGCTGTTACAGCCATTTAGGGAGTGAACCAGTGATTGGAAGTTCTGTCTCTCCCTCTCCATAATTCTGAATCTCAAATAAATAAATCTTTTTTAAAAAATTTAAAAGGGCTAAAATTAATTGCAGAGTTAAAACTAAAATAGAAAAAAAATGGGAATAATGAAGCCAAGAGATTGTTCTTATGTCCCTGTGTAGCAAGTGGAAATGACATGGATTTATAGCATTTATAATTTATATATGGAACTTAAAAAATCATGTTCACAGATCAAAACAATGTGAAAAAGAAGATAAATGCAATAGAGACCCGTTATTAAAGCAATATCTTGCTTGTGGATATGCACATTGTGGTTGTGATATCTGCCTCTTTTTTAATAATTATTATGTATTTGAAAGTCAGAGAGACAGAGATCTTCTATCTGCTAATCCCCCCAATTGCTGGAGTGGGCCAGGATGAGGCCAGAAGCCCAGAACCCGATCCGGGTCTCCCACATGGATGACAGGGACACAACAGTTGATCTGTTCCTTGCTGTCTCCCAGGGTGCGCGTTACTTGGAACTGAGACTCGAATGCAGGCATTCTGATAGGGCACACAGGCGTCCCACGCAGCATCTTAAATGATCTCTAAACACCTGTTCCCACCCCACCCCCCATGTCTGCTTTTTCCTTTTTTTTTTTTAAGGTTTATTTATTCGAAAGGCAAAATGACAGAATCTGTGGATTTACTCCCCAAGTGCTCCCAACAATTGGGGTTGGGTCCAGCTGAAGCCAGGAGCTGGGAACTCTATTCAGGTCTCCCACATGGGTGGCAGGAACCCAAGCACTGGGCCATCACCTGCTGCCTCCCGGGCACATTAGCAGGGAGCTGGAACAGAAGCAGAGGAGCTGGGACATGGAATTCCTGGTAGGAAAAGAGTTGCAGATTGGTGACTCCTCACACGGGGCACCAAAACATTAGGAAAAGAGGCGCAGTGTACAAATTTACAGCCAGACTGAATTTATTCAGAGAAAATAAATCCGCAGAGGTGGGTGACCAAGTGCTGCATGTACAGGATGGAGCATGTGGCAGAAGGCCCCGACCCCCAGGGATGGGTTCTTTTTAAAGAGGGCTAGGGCTGGGGGCGGGAGTAGGGGGCAGTAGGCAGAGGGGAATTCCAGGAACTGGGCGAGGCCTTGGGAACCTGGGAAAGAATGCAGGCTGGGGTGTGAAGGCTGCAGGGTGTGAGACCCAATTCAGTTTCAAGGTCAAGGAATACATTCCAGAGTTTATCTCTTTAGGGCCATGAGGGAGAATGGCTGAGCCTCACGTCCTTGTTCCCCCAATTCCGGTGTCACAGACAGGGCCACCCCTCACCTCTGCCGCTTGCTTTGATGGCTAAGGTACCTGTATTCCTCTAGCTTCAGATTCAAGACAGTCTAAGGCTGCTTCAATTGTCTATCCTGGATTAGTAACATAGTGTTCATACTACAGAATTTCCCTGACTTAGGATGGAGTGCTGCAGGGCGGATCGTGGCAATACTGGTGACAGCCGGGCTGTGAAGTCCCTGTCTGAGGTTCTCAGTCGGTTTGATCAGGAGCGGCAGAGGTTATTTCTCCAGTTTGTGACCGGGAGCCCAAGATGGCCTGCTGGAGGATCCCGGAGCCTGAATCCACCTTTGCCAATTGTCTGAAAAGACGTGTGCATCAACAGAAAACCCGGATGACCTCATGCCCTCTGTGATGACCGGGGTGAGCCCTCTTCAGTTGCTGACTCTTCCAGCCTCGAGATAATGGGTGACACAAGACCGGTGGCAGTCGCTGCATCTCCTGATTACAACCAGAAATCAGTGTCCACCTGTTACAACAAAAGAAAAAAATCAGAGTTCTTTTCTAAATCTTTCACCCGCAGCAAGGAAACCTGTTAGGCCTTCTTGTTGTAGGAAAAGCGGCTTGCAGATTATAAGAGACACCTGGCTGATATTCATTAATGGGCCCCGGTGGACTTAAAGTGACCAGGCCCTGAAACATTGTTGTGATGAGGTTTCTCCAGCAAGGTCTCATTTAAATGATCACTTATTTGATGAGTGAAGTTTTTAACTTGCTTTTCTGTGTGAAATTTTTAAAGGGGTGTTTTTCCCAGGCTGGAACAATAAATGTTACTGTGCAGTTAAAAAAAAAAAAAGAAAGAAAGAAAAGGATGCCTTGGAAGCAGCCCAGCATCTACACATCAAAAGTCCTTGTTGTGTGTCGGGGTGGACTCCCACCCCACTCCCCCTTCCTGCTACAGTAATTCCAGGAGAATCTTCCTGGCCCTGCACTGAGAGCTTTTCAGTCCGACAGCATCGGGGGAGACTTTCACGACTTTCACGGCAGGAAAACCCTTTGCCCAGAAACACCCCAGGAGAAGAGGGAGAGGGAAGGAGAAATGGCAGGAAGACGTGGGCCCCGTACCCATATAAACCCCAGTCTGAGTGCTGACTGGGCGCCCGGCTTCTTGCTGAGTTGCTCATCCGGCCTGTTGGACATACTGCTTCATTAAACTTTGCTAACCACCACTCTCTGTCTCACGTTTGAAATTCCTTCCTTAAGGACCTTAATCCAACCACCTCTGGTAACAATCTGGGTGAATAATAATGTATAATATAATATATATTATATTATATATAATATAATATATAATATAATAAATAAAGCCAGGAAGTTAGGAATGTTTTCCTGATAGTAACTGTCACAAAAGTCTGGGCCAGCCCTATGCCATCACATACAGACTACCACAGCCTCACACAAAAAATATTCCTGCAAGGACATCTGCCCAGCAACTGTCCATTCAACCTCAGACTAACATATTCTGGTTATTAACCATTGTGGCCAAAGATTATTTCAAGATCCTTGATGTAATCCTTCTCAATTTTTTTTTTTTAAAGATTCATTTATTTATTTGAGAGGCAGAGTTACAGACAGAGACAGAGATGTCTTCCATCCAAGCTGTGCTGATCCAAAGCCAGGAGACAGGAGCTTCCTCAGGGTCTCCCATGTAGATGCAGGGGCCCAAGCACTTGGCCCATCTTTCATTGCTTTCCCAGACCATCAGTAGGGAGCTGGATCAGAAGGAGAACAGCCAGGACTCGAGCCTGTGCCCTATGGGATGCTGGCACCACAGGCCACAGCTTAAACTCACTGAGCCACAGAATAGGCCCCAGTCCTTCTCATTTTTATCTTTAGAATTTTTCTTTGAATACCCCCAGATTACCATGGCATGCATATTCCGATTGCATTGCTCTGCTATTCCCAAATATATATATATATATATATTTTTTTTTTGACAGGCAGAGTGGATAGTGAGAGAGAGAGACAGAGAGAAAGGTCTCCCTTTGCCGTTGGTTCACCTTCCAATGGCTGCTGCGGCTGGTGCGCTGCACTGATCCGAAGGCAGGAGCCAGGTGCTTCTCCTGGTCTTCCATGGGGTGCAGGGCCCAAGCACTTGGGCCATCCTCCACTGCACTCCCTGGCCACAGCAGAGAGCTGGCCTGGAAGAGGAGCAACTGGGACAGAATCTGGCGCCCCGACTGGGACTAGAACCCGGTGTGCCGGAGCTGCTAAGTGGAGGATTAGCCTATTGAGCCGCGGCGCCGGCCCCCAAATAAGTATTACAGCTGACTATTGTTTATGGAGTTATTCAGGTTTGAATAAAGATTTTTCAACTTTACCGTGATGTGGAAGCTTTATACATTCAGTAGAAACTGTACTTTGATTGTTCATCTTTTCGCAGGCCAGGGTTATATGGCATGATACTAGTTTTTGAAGATGGCCCGTGAGCCACAGCACTAGGTCAGCCCTTCTGTCATGAGGATGGACAATTGATATGCTACAGGGTACTGGGTAGCTGTGCCAGGATTTGGGGCAGGTCAGGTGAATGAAGTGTACTTTTGTTTTGGCTTGGGATATTTTCAATGTATTATGAATGTACAGGAGCTAATCTCTAGGAAGAGTTTTCATTTTTAAAATTATTTATTTGAAAGAGTTAGAGAGGGAGAGACAGAGAGAGATCTTCCATCTGCTGGTTCGTCTCCAGATGGCTGAAACTGGCCTCAAATGGGGTTGGGCAAGGGGGAAGCCAGGAGCCAGGAGCTTCATCTCAGTCTCCCATGTGGGTGCAGAGGCCCATGCACTTGGGTCATCTTCCGCTGCTTTCCCATGCCAATAGCAGGGAGCTGGGTAGGAAGTGGAGCAGCCAGGACTTGAACCCGCACCCATATGGGATGCTGGCACTGCAGGCAGAGGCTTAACTTTCTAGGTTACAGCACCGGTCCCCCAGGAAAAGTCGAGGCGTGCTGGAAGCGTCTCTCTCTTTGGCTCCGCCTGAAGTGTTCCATTTGCAGTTTACTTCTCAGCAACAATCTTAGCATTTGGCAAGCACCTCCATTTTTAGTGACTCTCCCAGCACATGAAATTGTAATGAGAACAGCTGTGAAAAGAATGGAATGACGGCTCCAAATACGTTTAAAAATACTAGCGTCTTTGTCCTATCACTAGATGTAGGTGGGAAAGAGCGGGTGAGTAAACCTTGGTATTGCAATGAAATCTGAACACGTTTGCCCTTGGCCTGCAAAGAATACCAACAATCTTACTCCTTAGTAAGAATCCCCGTGCAGGCGCCGGATTCTGTCCCAGTTGCCCCTCTTCCAGCCCAGCTCTCTGCTGTGGCCAGGGAGTGCAGTGGAGGATGGCCCAAGTGCTTGGGCCCTGCACCCCATGGGAGACCAGGAGAAGCACCTGGCTCCTGCCATCGGATCAGCACGGTGCACCGGCCGCGGCGACCATTGGAGGGTGAACCAATGGCAAAAGGAAGACCTTTCTCTCTCTCTCTCTCTCTCTCACTGTCCGCTCTGCCTGTCAAAAAATAAAAAAATAAATAAAAAAGAATCTCCGTGCAAAGTAATGGCTATTTTACTTGACGATGTTGGACTTAACCTGACAGTTAGGAAATTACTTTACTTTTTTGTGATCCAGGAAAAAAAAAAAGCTCCTTTAAGGAAACACCCTTTCCCAGACTGCCTTAGATAAGACTCAGGAATGACGTTGACCTTGTTTGCCTACCACAACTGCCATGGGCAGACTTGCCAAATTCCTGTTCCTTGTCTCATACGAGACTGGCTGAACTATCTCATCCCCACTGATCAACAGGAATGGCATATTCATTAGCTGGATTTTGGCTAAGCTTTTTCCCTCCCCCAGGACGCCTTGCCTGAGCCATCACACAGCCCCTCCTTAAGGGTGCTTCCAGACAACCTGCTGGCTGCAGAGTAAAATGTTGCCTGACTCCCACCCCTTCATCCCACTGCCGTACATCTAGGTCTTTCTAGCCTTGCCCATTCTTTCTCCACAAAGCCTTCTAGCCTAACTTTGAGAGCTTGCAGGCCTTAGGGTCACAAGGGTCTGTCTCCTAAGTGCACAAGTCCCCGGCTCCACCGCAATAGTCTTGCTTCTCACTGCTTTTTTTTTTTTTTTTTTTTTGACATATTTGTCTAAGATCATGGAGGAAGTCAGTTAAAGATGCAACAGAGAGAGGAGAGGCAGAGAGAGAGAGAGAGAGAGAGAAGAGAGAGAGAGAGAAAGAGAGAGAGAGAGTTTTCCATCCACTGGTTCACTCCCCAATTGGCCGCAACTGCTGGAGCTGCCCCAATCAGAAGCCAGGAGCCAGGAGCTTCCTCTGGGTCTCCCCCGCCGTGAAGGGGCCCATGGACTTGGGCCATCTTCCACTGCTTTCCTAGGCCACAGCAGAGAGCTGGATGGGAAGTGGAGCAGCCGGGTCTCGAACCACCATCCATATGGGATGCCGGCACTAGAGTGTTAACCCGCTGCACCACAGCGCCAGCCCCACACCTGTACTTTATTTAAAAATAACAGATGGATGCGGGGCTGGCATGGTAGCATAGCGGGTGAAGTCACTGCCTGCGAGGCTGACATTCCACATGGGTGCCAGTTGGAGCCCTGGCTGCTCCACTTCCGATCCTGTTACAGTGCTTGGGAAAGCAGCAGAAGATGGTCTAACTGCTTGGGTCCCTGCAAACACATGGGAGACCTGGAGAATGTTTCTGGCTCCTGCCTTTGGCCTGGCCCAGACCTAGCCATGTGGCTATTTGGGGAGTAAACCAGCCAACGGGAAGACCTCTCTGTGTCTCTCCCTCTCTCTAGCTTTCAAATTGAGATGTTCCCTGTTGCTTTCTCAGGCCATTAGTATGGAGCAGGATCAAAAGTGGAGCAGCTAGAATTCAAACTGGTGTCCACATGGGATGCCAGCAGTGGCTTAAGCTGCTGTGTCACAGAGCTGGCCTTGGGGAAGAAGGCTTTTGCGTTAGTGATGTTGAAGTCTGCAGAAAGACAGACTTAATAGCTAGAATAGGAATTTCATTATGATAGACCCCAAACTGTAAAGATGGGGCTCATCCCAGTTGATATAGCCATGATAGGTTTCCCATACAGATTTATCTGCGACTTCTGAAACCCCACTTCATAACATAAATAAACTCTTAAGTCTAGGGTAGTCTTCATTGCTTTCAGTAAACTTGAGTAGAGTTGCAGCCACTGAAACAAAGAATAGGAGAGGATTCAGAAAAGGAAAATACAACAGAGAACACACAGTGTAACCCAGGAGCCTGGAAAAGGCACGCCCAGGGACCATGTGAGCAGAACATTCTGAAAGCAGAGGCTGCGCCTCATTGACCCTGCAGCTCCTGGAACCTAGCACAGTGAGTGCACCATTTACCAGATGAATAAGCTGAAGGTTCTCAGAAAAAGAGGAAACCAGCTCTACAAAGCTGAGGCCATTTCTTTTATTTATTTATTTATTTGAAA